AAGCGTTATATTAATTGCGTTATACGCTCACTTGTTCCCCATTTTGATACTGTACGGTCGTTAGATGAGTACCATCAGTACTGGAAGCGTGTCAAGCGTTGACTCTAGTCGAACCTTCGTGCTCGGTAAGAGACGAAAGAACAAGAGGAAAAAATTTTGATTCAAAAGAGCGCTACCAACATGCACACCGCAAGGCTCGGATAGCAAAGTTAAGTATCTAGAAGCACCGGAAGGCAGCATGGGAAAGAGATGACCCAGAGGAAACGTTCAGCGTGGACTCTGCTAATAGCATTTGCGGTGCAGGTGGGGATAATCCTCCAGTGAACTCAGCCCGACCAGACGAGTGGGAGTGGGTTGCCTGCTAACTGACGACATGGTCGAAGCTGTAATCAATGCAACATTTCGTCCCACTTATCTAAACCAAATATGTTCCTTGAATGAAATTCGTCAATTGGTCTTTAATCTATTATGCCCACGTATGCTTCACAAAACAAAGTTTTGGGTAACGCACTCTCTCCCTAAACACGTGAGGGTGTGACTTGAGGAGAATTTTGGGGACAAAATTCCTTTAAGGGGGAGATAATTGTAACGCCCTACAAACCGGCCTAGTTTTAAATAAATAAATATTATTTATTTATTGAGACTCATTATTTTTAGTAATCAATATTAAGATTTCCAATCTCTTTAAATGGCTTTTCAAAGCTAATGTATTATAATATAAAAAGATGTTTTAATAACGGACCTCTCAACATTAATTAAATGAATTAATTAATGATTGGGGTGGACCCAGAAGTTTGAAAATAAAGTTCTTAGAAAAATTATTTGTACATATCATTACATTTTTTTGACTGTCTGATTCCAAAAACACAAACGAATCTCAATTCGGACCCGTTCGGGAGGAAAACGTGTACCGTTCAGGCCAGATTTTAACATAACGGAGTAAAATAAATTATGTAACCCCCATCATCCATACGCCACCCTTCATTTTCCCCACTTTAATACTCCTTCATTTCTCATTCATTTTCCCATTAAAACCCTCCATTCATGTCCTCAATTTAAACCCTCTCTCTCTTCACTTCCCCTCACCAATTTTGTAACTCCCACAAACTCACACATCCAACTCTCTTTCTTCTCCTTTGTGTGTTCGGCCAAGCATCCAGGTATGGAGAGGTTCAGGTGAGTAGACGAGGAGGAAGAAGAGAAGGAGGTGACCACAAGAAACCATTCGTCGTTCAACGTTGTCAACCGTTCGTTCATCTTGTTCCATCATTCCGTCAATCCCTTTATTTAGAGGTGAGTAGTTGTCTCCTCTAATTCTAGAACATCAAGTCATAATCTATGTTGTTATATTAATAGGAATATCGTACGCAACCTACGTAGAAACTATGCATGTTCGTAGGTTAACCATCCAACATACGTGTGTCCATGTTATCAAGTTATGTTCTCGTTAATATAAATGTTTTGAAACCTTGTAAGTTATTCGATTATCTAGCATGCAAATATAAACATTCATTTCTAAAACTTCCAACGTTTTGATGACAAACAAACAGATTTAATGGAAGTCATGTGCATACCGCTGTAGGGAGGTCAGGCTTTCGTGCGCCTACTACAGTGGGCCCGTCCAGGAACCTTTGGGATCCTACGGGTTTTCATCAGGTGGGCTTTGTGTACGTACATGGTAGTGAGGCTACGGCTACCACCCAGTTTTGCTAGTTCACTTGCGACGTTTTGTCGAGCCCAGCTCATTACCGGAGTGCAGGGGTGATCCTGTCAAGTGAGACTAAGTCAGGGGTATCATGCATCAGGTCATATCATCATCATGTATGTTCATGTCATGTCAACACTCAATGTGGTTGTCATCATCATGTATGTTCCCCATCATGTCCATATTCAATGTGGTAGTATATCATTTGTTATGTGTAATAATATCCCATCAAGTACAAATTAGTCAGTTAGTAAATATGTGTTTTTCTGTACGTTAAGTACAGGTATTAATATGTGTATGACCATATGGGTTATCACTTCATGTTCTTTTGTTAGATTCACTCCTCAGCTTTTGCTGAGCGTGTAGTTGTTTTTGCTACACGCAGGTAGACATGACGGTGCGGGCGCTAACCCTGGAGGACAGTGATGGTGGGAAGATGGGCGGCGCATGGACAAGTTCAATAATTAAATACATTTAATTAATTAATCATTTGGGCATGAACCCACCATTTGTCATTTTACTCATTTATTTACTTCCGCTTTTACTCTGCATTTACATCACACACGTTATGGGGTTACCTCCCTAGCATTTATTTCACTAATTAAAACACAACCGTTTTCGTAATAAATAGTCATTAATGCGTTTTTCTCTACGGACGGTTCTCGGACCACCCATGTAACCCTACCGGTCCGTTGGGTCGTGAGTGAACCGGGTCCACGGAAGGCGGGTGTTACACCCGGTTCACCCGCGATCCGACGGACCGGTAGGGTTACATGGGCAGTCCGAGAACCGTCC